CGACGACTCGGGCCGATCGACGTTCCCCCCCGACGCCGCGCGGTGCTCCTCGCGGATCGCCACGATCCTGCCTTCGCGCTCGTCTATGGGATCACCCATCGTGCGAGAGGACGGGATGGAGCAGGGGAGCGCCCGGGTTCCGATGCGGTCAACCTTGAGGATCCTTTCTCGGCGCGGCCGTACATGCAGCTTCTTACCGTCGCGCACCGCCCGATGCCGTGGCGGCGGATCATCAAGACACATTTCCCCTCCCTCTCCGTGAAGGAGCTAGTCGTGGCGTTTGTGGAGAAGGTTGAGGGGGAGGATCTTGAAGGGGAGGAGGCCGCGGCGCTCGGTTCGCCCTCTTTCACCGCGCCGCTTGTTCTTGGGGAGTGGGAGGCGAGTAGGAGCGTCGGCCATGATGGGGAGGAAGGCCTTGATTCGAAAAACCGTAGAAAGAAGGGGATAGACGGCCTCTCCTCGCCATCTTCAGCCGCGTCTTCGGATCATGAGAGTGAACCCAGTGAGGGGGGGGAGGGCACGAAGACGGCTGAGGACATTCTGGAGAACAGCCTTTCAAGGGCCGCTCGACCGTTTTTCACACGAGAAAATACAATTTCTGACGACCCGTTACTGTCCATTCCACGAACCGGAGATGAGACATATCACCATGGTCGAAGAAGGAAACACTGGCTTGAGCGTCTTCTTCCCAAAGGATATCTTAAAGGTCCAGGATCATTTTTATCCGATATTCACGATTACCCGGCGGATGATTAGTTCACACTGCGGCTAGCAAGTATATGTGGGTAGGAATTATTTCTTTGAAGCCTTGTATCTTTTGTTTTTTTTCGGATTTTAAGTGCGCATGAATGCTTTTCTTCTTTATTCCGATACAAAAAGTAACTGTTCAAAGTGGTTTTAAATCCTGCTCTATGTGGTACTATTTTTTATCTTTCATCCTTCTTGTGAGGCATGAAGTACTGTTTCTTCTATTTCTGACCTGTTACGCTCTGTATCTTGCTTGTTCTACCCCGAGAACTGATATCTAAATGAAAAGCTAGGCTGCAATTAAGTGCGGTGCAGAGTGTAATGGCGATGCGATTTCCTGGGGTAGGCGGTCACGTCGAGTCGATCGTTTACGGCGAGAGCACTCCCGAGGGGCTCCAAACGCTACAGAAGCCCACCACCGCCTGGGAGATCCTTTTTTATCTTGGCATACATTTCTCGGAGGAGTTGCTATCGCAGTCGATCACTCGTGACGCCTCCTTTACGGCTTTCGTACTCTCGATGGGCGCGTTGAAGCGGTTTACCGCATCTTTCTTCGCGGTGCGCTTTCCCGATGCTTGGACTCCATCCTCGGAGGCGCTACGGTCTGAAGTCGAGCGACTCGGTGGGGTTGCGTTCCAGCAAGGGGAATGGCGGAGGGCGTCTGACGTGGGGCTGCGGGAGCTGTGGATTTTGCTCTTCCTCGAGCTATTTGACGCGTCCTCGCGAGTGCGGGGATGGAGCGACGAGTTTGATCGTCCGCTATGGGGTCTTGGTCTCGTGGATGAAACCTCGAACGCCCGGGAGCCGGCGGTAATGGATGTCAAGATCGGCTTTTTACGATACTCCCCTCATACTCCAAAAGAAAAGGTGGCGCGTATTGATCTAAAGGAGGAAGGCTCCATTTGCCGTAAGGTTGCCCTCCGTCCATGCGGCTTTCGGCGCTTCATCCATCGTAATCTGCCGTGTTCGCAGCACACCACAACGGAAGTGGAAGAGTTGGAGCGGCCGCTTTTGTTTGTCATCCGCGAAGACGAGCTTTCCGCGCTGCTGCGGTGCTTCCCATCGACGGTGGTGAGCCTCACAGGTGGAAAACCCGCCACCGGCGCTCCACGTCGTTCTCATTGGTTGTGTGTAAAGGACTGCCTCGACCGTATTACGGAGGATCGTCGGAGAGCCATGCGAGAAGCGATTCAGAATCTTCTTTCTTTTTTTCAGGAAACCATTGAGGGGCGGCATTTGATCGAGACCATGGCTTTTGTCTCGTCCAGCGTGCTATTTGTGTATGACGCCGCAGGGGGTGTTGAAACGGTACGGGTTCGTTTGATCGATTTCGCTCGCTCAAGTTATCGTTACTTGAACTACGACGAGCAAACCATCGGGTTTGTTGAAGGGCTTCAGAACTTGGTGAAATATCTAAGCAGCCCCGTCCGTTTACGTGAGGGGTTGATTCAAGCTAATGGAGAGGGTGATTCATAGTGGTAACCTGCTGAAAATGAAACTACATATTCCTGGAGACAAAGGGTCGTCCTTTATCTTAGATAATGTCCGTGGATAGGAAGGGTGAACAAAGGCTGAACTCAACAACCTTAGTGTATCTGTACAGTTCACTCTGAAATATGGGTTTGAGTTATATATTAAGCTATCCTTCTGTTCTACTCTACACGGCTGTGCAAATTTCCCTATGAAATTAAAGTTCAAAATTAATGCGAGACTAGGTAATTATTTTACTTTCACCTATTTAAGGCAAATTATGTGTTGATCGTTTTAAGGTTTACTTTTCTTTCCTCTTTCACTAATAGACTTTTTAAAAAAATCTTATCAGTTTGTATCATTATAACAAGGTATAAGCCTTCGTTTTTTTTTCAATTGTTAAAGTGGCCTGTTATATTCATTTTCATATACATATATGGCGATTTAACCCTGTTCAAAAAGGATAAGCTTAAGTAATTTCGAACCTCATCCTTTATTGATTCCTTTTCCATCCATGAAAATGAACTCACCGCGGAGGAGTCCGGCAGACCAGGCACTTCGCGCCCCGAGGCGAGTGTTTTCCACCCCTAGCAGGCCCTCCATGGCGTGGCAACAAGGAACGCGGCTTCTCCCGTCAGTGCTTCGTTTTCACCCGCCGTTGCAGCGCCCGCACGTTAATCCGCGGCGCCTCAGCTCGCGGCTGGACGCTTCCGGCCGCCTCCGGAGATTTCTACGCCGCCCCCCTCCTCCTCCCCCTCCACGGGAGACGCGTCGTCGATCCCTGCCAGCGAGGGAAAATGTCGCCGTCCAACGACGGGAGCGAAGAGGGGGTGCCCCTCCGCGGATCACCTCGGTTCCTCGGATGAATCGTCGCCGTGCTCGCCGGTTAAATCCCCCCCCAGCAACCTCTTCCACTTCTTTCAAGTCGCCTTCCTCGCGGACGACGTGGGGGGAATCCCATGGCATCTCCACCCTATCGGATCCGGTGATCGATCCGCCCTTTTCCTTCGCGCAGCCGATGGTTGAGGAGGGGGACTGGGAGGGGGTTCGCTTTGCGCGTCCGCTCTCATCGCCTTCGGAGGACACGTGGGGCATCTTTGAGGTCGTTTCGTCGCTGTCCCCGACAGAACTTTTTCCCTCACGAGAGCTCGTGGTAGGGGAGGTTTCGACGGAAACAAGAGGGGCTCGTGATGGGGAAGACGACGTCGCGGAGGCGACGCCGAGGCGATCTTCCCCGCCTGAGATCGCCATCCCCGAACCGCCTCCACAAACGACGCCTATGAGCCCAGAGAATAGCACACTCAATCTTTCTTCTTCACAGGAAACTGCCCCTTCCACGCGTTGCAATAGTGCTGAGAAACGCTCGAGTTTCCTCAATATATTCCCGCAATGTGCCTTGCCGAAGGTGGGGAATGTCGTGAATAAACCCACAAACTTTCGTCATCCCTTGTTCTGGAGTGCCAGGATGCCAACCTATGACGGGCAAGCTCTTGCCCTATCATTTCGTAGCATTGCTAACTACTATAACTATCGTGAGTGTTGCTTAGCACCTCTGACGCTGTCGAATTTAACATCTTCTACCGAATTCAAAAGGCTTTCATCAAATCCAATTTCATTTGCCTATGGGCACGATTGGACGCAAACCGTCTGTAAAGGGGCAAAATTCTCAAGAGTGGGTGGTCGTGGTGAGAGCTCTCCACAGAGAGGCGTTTCCGTGCAAGGCTTCACCCGCCCACCCCTCCCACCCAAGACCTCGCTTCCAAGGGGAATAAGCAACGAATCCAAGCCATTTGATGAGGTGGTTACGCCTGCCATGTTGCCCTTCTCTACACCCTCCCCACGTGAAACGTTGGGGGCTCCCATCGCGCCCCGATCAACGAAGGATATGCCTGAAAGATCTTCTACAGAATCGTTGGGATCTTCACTAGGTGTGTGGAGCACCGTTAGGGCGGTTAATGAAGATTTGCCAAATTTTAGTTTCTTCCAATGCGGTGATGTAACACACATAGCGTAATGCGAATCAATTTTTCTATTTTTTTGTTTAGCTTTGTTCTTTGATAATTGGTTAATATGTAGACCTACATATCATCTAATTATTATTATTATTATTCATATTCCCGCGCTTCGCCATCCTGGCGACATCGCCTCGTTTGTCTCCTTTTAGGTTTTGATCCTTTCATTCATCAATTATAAGCAAAAACTGGAACTTATTTTTGATTTGTATCGTTGATACGGTATTAATGCTGATTTTACTACTATTATGCTACTATTTTTTACCATTTTCTTTCCCCTCGCTTTTCAATACTGGAGGAAAAAATTTACAAAAGATGTCCTGTTCAACACAAGATAGTGGGCAGAATATTGACAAGAGTCAATTGTTTTCACGTCAACTTAAAGATGGCGTTGATGGTGTTTCAAAGGATCATAGTTCAGCTCAACTAACTGATGTGCTGAGCAACGAGCCTGACACGGTAAGTGAGCAGTTTTCCGAAATTCACTGCGTGCCCCGTCGAATAGATATCCCGCAAAAACAACTCCGCCAGATTATAGACATCGCTCTACACGTGTACAACAACTTGGTGCTGGTGCCCTCGCGAAGCACCTGGCGAAAAGTTGAGGGCGCCCGTAGGGAGTTGGAGCGGGAAATCGAACGCACTGCAATGCAAGAAATCGCCGAGACCATCAAGAAAGAGGTGGATCGGCAATTAGGGGGGTGTTGGCATGTTATTTATGGTTATGAGTTTGGCTCCTATGTTACGCATAAGAGTCTATCCTTTTGCTACTTTCAGCTAAACGATGCAAATGTTATGGTGTGGCGTCAGGGCGGGTGAGGGAACCCTCAAAAGACAAACATCGCACGATATATACATATATCATATCTATATTGATGTATTGTATGTTAGCGTTCCTTTCTTAAGCGTCGGATTAATTTCTTTATTCTACACTCTATTTCGCTGTCGGGCGAATTGTATATAGCTATGGTAACAAACTGGAACTAAATAAGATAATCCAATTGACACTATCACATTCTACTATTACTAATGAATATGGTATAAAGACATGCATAAAAAGTTGGCTCATTTTTCTGCTTAATATTCTCATTTACCGAAAAAGTTTTTTTATTGTGAAAATGATGAGCTTGTACACTCCATATAAGTGGGTTGTATCCAAACTGATTTAGGGGTAAATCCTTCTGGCATATTTTATTAGTCTTTCAACGTATCGCGCAGCTTTAAACATGGTTTGCTAGCTTGTTGCCTTTGCTCACACAAGAATCAACATGAAATCTCCGTTTCACGGGAGTTTGTAATTTGGTGGTGGGTGCGGTTCTCGTACGGACTTCGAGTTTATTGCAATTGGGATATGGCATCATGGAGAATAGGCTTAGTGCCACTGTGATCTTTTTGCTTGGGATGGTTGAGGTAGCCTTGCATTGCGTGTTCTTTTCTATCTCAAGTCAATTTAATTACCTTATTATCGTTTGGTAATTTATATTGCGTGGGGCAGGACACTATCTAAATTCTGTGTATGGTTATCTTAGACATTCTCGCCTTTCTCAGGAAGCATGAGGTGGTGATCAGGATAAGATCCAACGACTTGCTTTCCGAAAAATTTTTGATGATGTTAGAATTTTTTATTAAATGTAAGCCTGATTGCAAGAATATGATTTAAGTTGGATTTTCTTCTTGATCCCTATTCCCTATTATGTCTTTGGATCATTTTTTTGGTATCCAGGCCTGAAGTCCATTAATTGTGTCACTGAGTGGTTCAACGTTTGCGGTACGTTTGCTTTAGAACAAAATATTTTTTATAAAACATAAGGTGTTTGGAACCAATAAGCCTTAAAGTTGAATCTTTATTTTCCTCGCCTGCTATTATTTTTATTCCATAACTGCGGCTGGTATTTAATGCCCTTTTCCACTATTATATGTAATTTTTGAAAATCGAACCTTATTACTAAAGTCATTGTCTCGGAACCCTTATTTTGCTCCTTTCCTCTCTTTTTTTCTGTCTTAATGATCGTCATGGTGGTCTAAGCATTAAGTTAACCGTTTTTGTTTTCCAGCTGATTTATATGCAAGATACGAAGAAAGAAAGTGGAGTAAACGCTGAGTATCAACGAGATGGAGGTATTCACGGAGGTAATAACCATGGTAAAGATGTAAATGCCTTCGATGACAACCACCATTTTGACGATAGATCGCGTAGAAATAATACTCGGCGGAACCATCGTGGCGGGTATCGTGGACGTGATGCCCACAATTCGAATAATTGGCGAGAGGATCGAATGAACGAGGGCGATTACGAGCAGCGGCCGTACCATCGGGAGGCCGGGGAGGAGGGCTCACGAGGGGGAGGCCGTGGGCATTACTCGGGCAGCCGCCAAGGGGAGGGGCAGAAGTACCGCGCGCCGTTTTCCCAAAATCGCGGCGGGGAGCAGCCTGAGGAAGGGGAGCGGGAAAGGGAAAGGGAAAGGGGGGAGTACCCCTCCCGCCGTGGAGGACGTGGACGTGGACGGGGTCGCGGCCGTGGCGGCTTCCAGGGCGACGCCCCACTCCCCGCCAACGACGCTGACGCCCTTCCT